GATCTTGAGAAAACTTGTTATGCATGTATATATTGATGAGATCTCGGTCAAGTTCGAAATTGGTAATGATTGGATGAATGATTTCAGAGTTATTGCCCCTGACTTAGTTAAAAACACATCAAATTTTGCTATAGTTTTTATCCGATCTTGAGAAAACTTGTTATGCATGTATATATTGATGAGATCTCGGTCAAGTTCGAAATTGGTAATGATTGGATGAATGATTTCAGAGTTATTGCCCCTGATTTAGTTAAAAACACATCAAATTTTGCTACAGTTTTTATCCGATCTTGAGAAAACTTGTTATGCATGTATGTATTGATGAGATCTCGGTCAAGTTCGAAATTGGTAATAATTGGATGAACAATTTCAGAGTTATTGCCCTTGACTTAGTTAAAAACACGTCAAATTTTGTTATAGTTTTTATCCGATCTTGAGAAAACTTGATATGCAGTATGTATTGATGAGATCTCAGTCAAATTCCAAATCAGTAATAATCTGATGAACAGTTTCAGAGTTATTGCCCTTGACTTAGTCAAAAAGACATCAAATTTTGCTTGTAGGCACGATAGAGGCTGCAATTTTTATCTGATCTTGATGAAACTTGGTATGCATGTATATATTGATGAGATCTCAGTCAAATTCCAAATCAGTAATAATCTGATGAACAGTTTCAGAGTTATTGCCCTTGACTTAGTTAAAAACACGTCAAATTTTGCTTGTAGGCACAATAAAGGCTACAGTTTTAAATATCCTGCTTTTGTTTTATTGTAGAAAGAATATGGAATGGAGTTAGAATTAATTTGTATTGATGCTGTAAGTTTTTAACAATTCCTAGGAATTATGTGATTTTCGTACATTTCTAGCACTTTTGAAGACTATTTACATATATTCAAGACCCAAATCAACCCCCACCAAAAGAGCGTACCTGTCCCTTTAACATACACAGCCTGTAGCACACAGGCTTGAAACTGGGTTGAAAAATCTGAAGGTATTATCTCAACCTATGCTAGGATTGAACCCTGGACCTTTAGGTTAGTGAGCAAGCATCAGACTCACTGACAGGGGGAAACCAGGTTGAAAAATCTGAAGGTATTATCTCGACCTATGCCAGGATTGAACCCTGGACCTTCAGGTTAGCGAGCAAGCGTGTAACTCACTGACAGGGGGAAACCGGGTTGAAAAATATGAAGGTATTATCTCGATCTATGCCAGGATTGAACCCTGGACCTTCAGGTTAGTGAGCAAGCGTTTAACTCACTGACAGGGGGAAACAGGGTTGAAAAATCTGAAGGTATTATCTTGACCTATGTTGGGATTGAACCCTGGACCTTCAGGTTAGCGAGCAAGCATGTGACTCACTGACAGGGGGAAACTGAACAGAAATATTCTTATTTTAGTATGAAGACTTGAGAAGTATTATAAAACATAAGAATTATGGTCTAACAGAATTAAATATTAAACTTAAAACACTACACGTCCCTGTAGCAGCTTTCTCTATGTTGGTGAGTCTTACAATTTTACAGATGAGCAAAAATTTGGTAACAAATTAGCTTGAAAAAAAAGTAAAATGTGCATTCATTTTTTTACCAAGTTTCCAAAATAGAAGTTTTATTATACAAAGACAAGGGCAATAACTCATATCATCAGAAAGCAGATAATATCAAAGAGATTGTGGTTTTCTATATTTTTTATGTGTATCAGGGACACTGATAGTATCAATTTACATCATTCTAATTTTCAATCAGACGTCTGTGGTTCTTGTTAAAGAGATTGTAAAATGGTTTTCTAAATTTTTTATGTGTATCAGGGACACTGATAGCATCAATTTACACCATTCTAATTTTCAATCAGACGTCTGTGGTTCTTG